ATGTATATGTATATATATATATATATATGTATATGTATATATATACATATACACATATATATACACATACATATATCGGTCATTTGAGCCTCTTTAAGAGTATGTATACGTGGCACACAACATTCAGTGGGATTGCGGGATGATATGGTTGGAAGTTGATGCCAAGAAAAAAGACATTGCCTGGGACACAATGAGTATGGTTATCGTGGCAGATGATAAAGGGTTAAAGATCACAGAGATGCCTATCGAATCACCAAAGCCTCATGTTGTGAGGCTGGCATTAAGGAGTGCAAGAATCTGAAACTTAGATTGTGAGAAATTTTCCAGGGGTTGCTTATATCACTGCCAAGCTTGCTGTCTCCATCGAAGAAAAGATCTGGTTTGAAGAATCTCCTGGCTTTTTATTCTCTAGTTTAATTGAGAAAGGTGATGTTATTGTAGTGTTCTGTTCTAAGCAATGAGGATGATGATTCTCAAGATTTAAGTGAAAAATACGACCACTTTTGATGATTATTTAATCATCATGTAATTACATTTTTATGTTGTTATTAGTGTTAGAAATAATTGTCAACTCAATGTAATGAAGTTGTTGGTTACCAAATGCTTATTAGCGTTCAACAATCATATGCGTCTCGAGCATGCCTAGCCTATTTCACCTCCTTGCGGATGAGTTAGGTTGGGGTGTATGTTCGACAAGATTCGTTCGATACCTATGTCAGCAAACAACTCAAAAGAAGAATTCAGAGAGTTGAGATGTAAGTGCACACTTGTAGTGATTCCTTTTGTGGGTCTCATGTATGTTGGGTATCAAGGAAGATTATTATTTCTTGGATGTTATATGTTATTTTGGCATATTTAGATAGTGCCACATTATCAACTTGTTGATTCGGTAGACTTAGCTGTCCTCACGTTACCGTGATGTTATCTAGGTATTTATCATATTATCACCATGCTGATTGAACTCTCATGTCTCACTGGATTATATATATCAAGACTTAATTAGCTGCCTATTGTTACATATAGAGTTTTAATTTACTTTTAATTCTAGTCTTATCATTTTCAATAAACTTATTTAATTTTATATTGATCGATAAGTAAGAAAATTAAAGTCTCATAGGAATCAAGTATTATCTCTACCCTCAAATCAAAAGTACCTTCATGAGATTTCTAAGAGACAAAATAATGTAAGAATTTCCAAAAGCAAACAATTCATTACAAATGATAAAGCTAGATTAATGTGTTAATTAAATCCATTTGGGATGGGCATAAGCATGACAGTGAGTCGAATTCAAGAACATGGAATATAAAGTTGGTAGATGTTGCTTTTATGCAATGAATATTTTAAAAAATAAAAAAAAAATATTTGGGAATATCTCATTCATGTCTAATTCTAATTTTCGAAAGTCCTAATTGTGCTTGGCCTGATCGGTGTTTTAATTAATCAAATCAGCCCATTACGATAAAGACGATAAAAATCACCCAAACTTGAAATAGATTCCCCTTTAAATATGAAATAATTTTACAATCTATATCAATATTAACCAATTCTTAAACCCCTAACATTTTGATAAATTATAATATCAAATATTTTTTGAATCATTTCAAAATATAAACGGATAAGGATCCCATAATATAAAATGATCTAAGGTTTTCTCTCCCTTTTTCGACTCCTTATATTTCATCTTGAATCATATCAGGTTAAAACTGATTTGATAGTACTCTTGACATAGAAATATACAAAGACGATCTCTTTGAAACATCCCTCCACAAACTATATCTCATCAAGATTTATATTATTATTATATTGATTTTTGATATACAACATGATTTATAATTGGATTAGGTCTCCCTAATTTTCACTCTTCTATGATAAAAGAAAAGAAAAGAAAAGAAGAAAAGAAAGACCTTTCTATGATAAAAGAATCCATTTTGGTCTTAAGATGAAGATTCTTTAGGGTCCCACTTGTACATATCAACCCCTCTTATCTTTTTGTATCTGTGTTAATAATATCCACCTTTTTATTTGTGTGCTGATATTTATAATTCCAAAAACCAGTTGGTAATATTTAGGCCAGCAAATGTAAGCCACAGCGATGTATATATTATGCCCTCGAGGGCGGTCGCCACGCCGTGACCGACGGGCTCTCGCCGCCTCTCCCCACGCTTTCCTCTCCTCTCCTCCGCCTGTCCGTCCCTCTCGCCATGGCCGACCCTTCCTCCGACGACTTAGACCAACTCCTCGACAGTACTTCTCTCTCTCTGTCTCTGTCTCTCTCTATGTGTCTCCGTCGATTCCTTCTTTTATATCCTGAATTCCGCCTCGATTCTTTGTTTCAGGCGCTTTGGACGACTTCACCAAGCTCGATCTCGCCCCCGCCCAGAGGTCCTACTCTCCCTCCGCTCTAGAATTTTAGCTCATACAATTCTAATTGTTGCTGTTAATGATTGATAGGAGCGGCGGCGGTGGAGATGGGAAAGACGGAAGGGATGCGTTGCCCTCGTCGTCTTCTTCTCCTTCGGCGTCATCGGCTTCGGCACCCCCGGTGCGAGGATTGGGGATGGGGCTGCCCGACCTGGCCGCGAAGAGGAAAGGGAAACAGGGTGCCCGGCCCAGGGGGTCCCACGCCTCGGAGGCCCTTGAGAAACTGACGAAGGAGACCCGGGAGGCGGTGCGGGGTCTGGAGTCTGCCACAGGGGCCGCCACACTCAAGGGCGGCGATGCTCGGTTCGACAAGGAAGGGATGGTCGATGAGTTCGTCAAGCAGTTTGAGGAGCTCGCGGGCTCGCAGGTCTGCCTTCTCTTTTGATTGAAACATTCGTTCGTCGTATCTTTTCTTCCTGTCCAAGAAATAGGGAAAATTAATTAAAGTTTGATTCTTTAAAGCTATGAGATTTTAGAATCTTACACTTATGGTGTTAAACTAGCGGAGGAAATAGATACCTATTGGGACAACTAGTCTCAATGCCAATCTCGTTTGCGATATGTTTCAAGGTTAAGTTTCAACGATCTAGGAGCCTGTCTAGTGAGGTTGATTTTGGTATCAGATGTGCCCTATGTTATCAACTTGAATGAGATTGATGTCAATATTCTACCAAATGTTAAGATTAGTCGTTCAACAATTTATAGCATACTTAAAGAAAATTATTTCTAGAGCCTGAAAAATAAGATGCCTGTGAAGTTCTTTTGGCTGTGTACTTTTGTGTCAGTTGTAGAAAACAGAAGGTCCTTATTGTTCATAAACTGCAAACTTGCACAATAAAGAGATCCAAAATGTCACTGTGCGGTTGCGGAGGTTCTCTTCGGTCGTGAAATTGGTAATTACGCCCTGTGAATGAGCCTGTGAATTACAATAGTTATGGAATCCATCTTCAAACAAGAAACTTTTTGGATGTCTAAATATGTTTTGTATCTAGAAGACTCTGTATATCGATTTTTTAAAATTTTCAACTATAAGGCAATCATTCTCTTTACTTGTGATTGATACTGTCAGATGCCATCATAGCTGCAAGGGTGTGAACATGCACTTACATATATGTCTTGCTCGTTTTAACTAGGGGTCTTAACATAGCATCTGTTTTAGTGATTGATGGTGTTAGGCACTATATTGCATATGTTGCGAGCCGTATAGTAGTTTAAATTCATAGTATTCAGTACAATGGACAACAGATCATTATAGCAGCCGCTCTGCAATGGAGCCAGAGCAGGCTCTTCAAGCCTACTGGTTTATCTAATCAGTGATTCCATATAAGTTGATAAAAAGGAAGGCTCAAGCTGACTCAAATGGTATTTGTTCTTAAATATTTTAAGCCCACATAAATAGGTCAAAAAAGTTCAATTTGATTGAATCTAATGCAAGTTTTAGATCTCAATGATTGATGTCCAAATATAACAAATAGACTATATTTTAATCCTATCATCCCAACCCCACCTTTTCTCAAGGGAATGTCAACTGTTGTTGTTCTCATCTCTCTCTCTGACTCTTGGTCTCCTTCCTTGTCCTTTACATTACTATGTTGTTTTCTATATATGTCTTTCTCTTTATAGCTCTTTTTGAAGATGATAAATGATACCATCCTCACTTAATTTTTGTTAAACATTTTATTGTGCTTCCAATAGACTTGAGTATTATATTTCTCTATTTTTGATGATATAGTAGCCTGTGAAGGTCGCATCCATTTTGATATTTCATGTTATACAAATCACAGATGATTATGTGACACTGTTATTTTGGTATTGCATAACAAACTAGTTAATGACCGTGTGTAAACATTTGGTCGTTGGATCTATACCATGTCAAAACACTTGACATCCTTGATAATATTAATGATGGCTCTATGTTGATGGTTTGCTTTGGGCTGTTCTCCCCCATTATCGGCTGTCTACCATGAAGACCCTCTACAACAACATGCTCATTGCATATTATTTACAACACGGATATTGCTTTATGCAACACTTAATGGTGCGGAAAATAATCTGTGATCAAGAATATACTAAATCTGTTCTTATGTAGCCTCAACATTTTTGACTTTAGATGCTCTTTTCAGGACCAAATATTAGTTGAAAACAATGCTTTGTGTAGTTTATACTGCAACTCTATCTGTAGCCTCTCATGAAAGTAATAAGCTTGGTGATGGAGGTCCTTATGGGCACGTTTATTCATTTTATAGTTGAAAATTCTGATGCATTCTGGTGGCATTGCAACATTCACCTGAAGATTTTTTTTTTTGTCAGTGGAAAAGTTTGTACTTCTTGTCCTTTAAGGGCACGTGTTAGCTCAGCTGAAGTGCCATTGATCTATTTAAATGATGGACCCTTTTTTACTTTATAGATGCGTACATTTTGTTTTTGATCTAATATCTTTTTGTAACATTCATTTGTTATTTTAATGTTCCAATTATTAGCCTATTGGCTTATAGGATCTTACATATGTCTCACATTTTCTTTTGCAGGATGTTGAATCT